CCCCCGCCACACACAATTTCCATGGCCAAGCGAGGCATCTGTGGGTGAATTTGGCCCCGTTTTTTTAGCACCGTTTGTGCCACGGTCGTTAAGCGAATTGCAGTTAGGTAGTCCTCGACTTACGACCCACAAGGGAGCACCAAAAATTAAGTTCTTCAGTGCGACATTTGTTCAAGTGAGTTTTGCACCCCTCCCCCCCCAATTTTACAAACTTTCTTTGTTAAGGGAATCACTGGAGTTGTTCAATGAGTAACCTGGTTGTTAAATGAATCTAGTTCCCTCCCGCCTTGTCTTTGCTTGTCAAAGAAAGTCGCAAAAGGAGATCACGTGACACACACACACACCCCGTGATACAACAACGGTGATAAAAATGAACCCGTGGCCAAGCATCGGAATTTTGATCACACAATTATGGGGAATGCTGCAAAGGTAACCGTGAAAAATGGTCATAAGTCAATTTTTTCATGGCCATTCTAATTTTCAACGGTCACTAAATGAACTGTTGTAATTTGAGGACTACCTGTTGTTAAGTTAGTAACCCGGTCGTTAAGAGAATCTGCTTTCCCCATTGACTTTGCTTGTCAGAAGGCTGTAAAAGGGGATCACATGACCCCTGGAACGCTGCAACCGTCATAAGTACATGCCAGTCGCCAAGCGTCTGAATTTTGATCACATGACCACGGGGATGCTGCAATGGTCACAAGTGTGAAAAAACGGTCGTAAGTCACTTTTTTCAGTGCTGCTGTAACTTCGGTCACTAAACAAACAGTTATAAGTCGAGGACTGCCTGCAGTGGAGGATGGTGGGAGGGGGTGTGTTAAAGGATCGGACTCCAGGGTGGCGTTTGGTGTTTTAATTCTCATTGCTCTGTTTCCCCTTTTCATCTATTCATTAGCTTTTGCCACAGCTCCGACGCCGACCAAACGCACCGGCGGGCGGTGGTTTGCAAAGACAAGAGACAAGGCCGCCCTTTAATCCTTTGGCTCGGGCGCCCCCACACACAATGGAAAGGGCTGGGGAGGGAGAAGGGGGCCTTTTTCCGGGGGTGGGCGGTTGGATCGGACCCCGGTCGCCAAGGGACACCAATGATGGAGCGCAGTGCCATGGACATCTCTCTTTTGGGTGCCCTTGGGGCGGGAAAGAGAGGGCATTTTGGCCAAGAGCGTGGCTCAGTAGTGACCGATAGGCCCGTCTTCTGTCAGCTGTTTCCTGTTTTATTAGTGTGGATTCCTTGCTGGGGGCAGCAGGGTGGCAGTGAAACATACAGCCTCCAGTCTCGGCCAGATTTTTTTTTATTATTATTTTGACAAATCACTCAAGGCGACAAAAATACCCAAACACACCTTTCTCCTCCACATTTTTTCCCACCACAACAACCCTGGAAAGTGGGTTGGGCTGAGAGAGGTACTGGCCCAAAGGCACCCAGCTGGCGGGACTAGAATTTATCATCTTCTGATTTCTAGCCTCGTGCTTTAATCATGGTTTGCTTCTGTTATAGATGGCTGCAGTACCCGTAAAGGGGGGGGGAGAGGGGGAAGGGAAGATGAATCTCTCTGCCCATACCCCCATCCCTTTGCCTTGGGAAGCATGTCAGCAAAATATTAAGAACAGGAAGTTGGTGGTGGTTTGATGTAGTTGGAGCTCTGTTCTTTTCCCTCCATCTTGGAGCCAGACAAATATTTATCCTGTCTTGTTCTTCCAAGAGTCCCATTGTAGAGGTTGGATATACTACTTTTAGTATACTTTTAGATTTTTTTTCAATCTTTTTTTGCCCTTGTTGTGAATCACTGCAGTTTTTAAGTGAATCACGTGTTTGTTGAGTCAAACCAGATTTCCCCACTGACTTTGCTTGTTGAAAGCTCACACATGGCAATTCTGTAACTCCAGGGCACTGCAACAATTATAAATACATGCCGGCTGCCAAGCATGCAACTTTTGATCACAAGCAAAACCGCTTGGGTTACTACAGTGGGCATAAGGGCAAGCACCAGTAACTTTTTTCAGTGCCGTCGTAACCTTGAATGGTTGCTAAACAAGAGGTTGTAAATCAAAAGACTTCAAAGAGGTTGAGTGGTTGGAGATATGGGTCTATATATTTTTGTGCCTGTGGTCAAAAGGAAGAGCAAAACATGTGCCTAGTAACAATCTTACTATTTTTCTGATAGTGCTTTTTTCCCTACTTGCAGTGCAAGTAGTCCAAATGTAAGGTTATGAAAGCATGGATTGATAGTCTTTGTTCGTGATGGCGTGCCACAGGTGGCTTGTGGAGCCATTTCTGTGGGCACGTGAGCCATCGCCCTAAGTTAGCTCCACTGTGCATGCGTGTGCGCCTCCTGCTGGCCAGCTGATTTTTGGGTCTGCCGCGCATGCGGAAGATGAGTGCACATGCCCATGCCTCCCTTCCCAGGAGTCTCCACGCAGCCCGTTTTAGATGCCAGGTAAGTACAGGGCTCGCGCGGAGGCTCTGGAAGACCGAAGAACGGGCCTACTGGAAGTCTCCAGAGGTTTCCAGCCTCCGGAGGGCCAGGGGAGCCATTTTCGCCCTCCTAGAGGCTCCAGGAAAGCCTCTGGACCTTGGGAAGGGTGAAAAATGGGCCTACCGGAAGTCTGGAAACGGGCCATTTCCGGCCTCCAGAGGCTTCAGGGAGGCCTGCTGGGCCCAAAATGGGGTGAAAGGGGGTTGGGCGCATATCCGCGGTGGGGGGGAGCGCGGGAGGGGTCGCGTTTGCCTGTGCAGGAGGGTGGGGCAGTGGGGTGGTCATGCGTACATGCGCAGAGGGGCGGAGCGTGTGGGAATCATTGCATTATGGGTGTGGGCACGCCATCACTGGTCTATGCTAGTAGTCATTGATAGAAAACCTCCATGGTCCCTTCCGGAAATAGTTGTGGGAAATCCAGCATGATTCATCAGTGAACCAACTGAAGTATAAAACAATTCGGCAAACGTGACATAGATAAATCCCCATGGAAATGGGAAAAAGACATGTCGGGAAAACAAGTGAACCAGGTCAACTTTTTTGCGGTAGTTATGGATTAATATATTCTTAAGACTTAATGGGGAAAATATTTTGTTTCCATGAAAGAGCTGAGAAATATCCTCGAATGACAATATTTGTAGTGTAAATATAATTTTTAATCTTTTTATTATATTTAGGTGCCGCCCATCTCACTCTGCAAAGTGACTCTACAGAATTATAGAATATGTAAACTTAAAAGTCCATACTATTTGCAATGGTTGTGCTTCCCAGATTTTTTTCTCCAGTAATAGTTGGTTTGAAAGAGCTGCATGTGACTCAACCACTGAATGAATATGTATGCATGTATGTATGTATGTATGTACCGTATTTTTTGCACTATAAGATGCACCGGACCATAAGACGTTAGCTTTAGAGGAGGAAAACAAGAAAAAAAAATCTGCCTCTGCCTCCCAGCAGTATTCATCTGGCTAGCATCCTTGCAGCAAACAAAACAGCCTGGTCAGCTTCAGCATGTTATCGCAGCCCCAGCATGTGGCTCGTGAGGGCTCCACTCCGCTGTGTCCACCACTGCTCAAATAACCTGAGCTGCTGCTGCCGCCGAGGAACACTAGAGCATTTGCTGATGAGCAGTTGGATGGCCTCCCGGAATACCGCTGATCAGCTGTTCTAGGTGGCGGGGATTGCCGCTGACCTCCACCATTTGATAGTGGAGATCAGCGGCAATCAATCCCCACCACCTAGAACAGCTGATTGGCTGTATTCCAGGAGGCCGATCCAATCAGCAGATCGGCAGTGAAGGCTCCAGTGTTTCCCGGCGGCAGCAACCGGCGGCAACCAATCCCCTTCCCCCCGACCGCAATATTCACTCTATAAGACGCACAGACATTTCCTCCCACTTTTTTTGCGGGGGGGGGAGTGCGTCTTATCGTGCGAAAAATACGACTATGTATGTTAAAATGTTTCTTTTGGAGCTTTGTCAAGTCTGCTGTACCAATGTGAATTTAGCAGGGAAAAGTCTTAACATATATTCTGCACCTGATGTGAAGTGTAGGAGATGCTTCCTTGTGTTCTGTGTTCTTAACCTACATAAACTAGTGGGAGAGACTGCACTGTAGAAAGATAACCATCATCTCGCATAACAACTTCTGCTGTTACTTGAAATTCATTTTCGTCAAAGCTATG